AAAGAAAATGAAAGAAAAATGAAAATAATCCAAAAATAAAGAATAAATTTTAATATAAATTATCTTTTATATCTTAATTTAAAATAAATTAAGAAATAATTTAAACATATTTAAGCATTAAGTTAAAACACTAAAATTTATTGTAATTGAAATTTTAAAAATCCAAATTGAAAGAAAGTTTTTAATTAAAATACACAAGATGCTAAGTTTATATAGGGGAGACCGGGGCAAGATCGGCATGTTAAGCTTTACTTAAATTTTGTGTAATAAATACTGCTGTAAACTAAAAAAAAAGCTTTGCATATTGTCTATTGGAATGTTACCTTACTATAGAACTGGTTAAAATCAGTTTGGAAATAAAAATAATTAAAATAATTACAACTTTACAAGAAGAGAGAAATTGACGAAGTTGCCCCGGGTATAGGGGCAAGATCGGCAACTTCTCTCTTTTTGTAAAGTTGTAATTATTTTAATTATTTTTATTAAAGTTGCCCCTGGTATAGGGGCAACAGTAATGGGGCAAGATAGGCACGTATATAAAATTATGTTATTAACAATGTATAAGTTGGAATTCACTATTAAAACAAAGAAATACAAATCCAACACCCATTTAATATTATTACAACGAAATGCAAGTTCAAAGACATATATACATGAATAACAAATGCAAACATGTTTTCATTTATCATCTGTTTGATTTTTATCCTTTGCTTCTAATGTGGCTTTATGTTGCCGATCTTACCCCGCTAGTCATGATTTCGAAACATTAAGTACAACCCTGAGAACAGAATGCCAAGCCACGATCTGGCCACGTGAATAAGTTGAAGTTACATCCTTCTAACAGGAAAAGTAACTTTCGTTATCATGGAATTATAACAAAACCTGCCAATTCAATATAAATGGAAAAAAAATATTATATGGAATTGAACGAAAATGAAAATTTGCTTGATAATTCAACTACGCTTGTTGGAGAACAATAAAAACACTACACTCAACAAGCCACCAATAAAACTCAACTGCCTAACCTATAACCAAAGTCTCCTTTTAATTTGTTTTTTAAAAAAAGCGCTTGACAAACTTGCCCCGCATGCCGAAGTTGCCCCGGTCTCCCCTAATAACAATATTCAAATAATTATCGAAGTAATTTTAAAATAATTGCTTAAAATGTCCAGCAGCGAGTTGCGTAACTTTTCCGGCAAAAGAATTTAAATTTTGCGTGGTTCCACCTGTTATCAGATTTAATTTTTAAACACCTTATTATTATTAATTATTATAAAATAGCAGAAAGTTTAATTTTGAGGATAGAGATGAATTTTATAATAAAAGAAAAGAAAAATCGTAAATGCTAATAAGTGAAACCCTTCATTACTGGTTTGCCCCTGTACATCATACTTTTCCTTTAAGCATAGATTAAAGGGATTGCGTGTCATAGCTACAGTTTCCACTGTAGCTATGACACACAATCCCCTTTATCTCTCTAACCCCTCTTCCTTTCATTGCCAAAATTTTGGAATAATAATCCACCCAACACGCAAACTTCCCTGAAAAATTTCAGAAATTTTCGACAAAAGGAACCGGAGTTATTAAACTTCAAAGTGGGGGAACGAAAACGTGCTTCAGACACATACATATAGTAAAAATTCTCAAATTCTTTTGAATTTCTGCAGGACCCCTGAGTCCAAAAATGTAAAAATCTTCAGGAGGTGTTAATTTTTTTGATTTCAGACTTTTCGTATGTTATATATAACACCCGGGAAAGTAAAAATTAAATATAAAGATATGCTTTATATTATTAATATAAAATTTATGAAAGAATATTTAATTTAATAAAAAAAATAGATAATTTGAAATCACGAAATTAAGTGATAGGTATCAATTCCTTGATATATCTAGAATGGTAGAGCTAATATTCATTATCAATGTTTGATCAGGAGTTGTAATTTCCGGTTGAAACATGACCTAACCTCATTTAGAGATCTTCATTTCTGACAACTAAGACCGGGGGCAAGGCAATTTCGGGAAGATTCTACTATCAAATCATCAGAATATCCTATTTTGAATCATGTGAAGGAGTTTTGTAAATAGTTTGTGGGCAAATTTCTCTTTTCAAAATTAATACAAATATTTGAAAAATGTAAACAAAACTTTTCTTTTAATTTTTTCTAAAAACACGTTAAAATGATTGATTTACAATAGTTATATATATATAATTTATAAAAATATTATTTAAAATGTAATTAAATCACAATCTACAGCTATAAAATGTAAATGAAACGTGTTAATCTAATTAGGAACTGAACCCCGAATCTTTCGGTAAGGTAAGAAATACAATAGAGAGGGTGGCCCAAAAATCAGTTAATCCGAGATATGAAAAGTTCAGTTAATTTAGTTAACTGATTTATGAGCCTTTGTGTTTTACTTCGTTAAAAGTCGAGGGTTCGTTTCCAATTCTGAATTAAAATTTTCAATTCCAGAATTAGCACCGATCCCACGTCTCGTGATTTGGATTTTATTCTTTGGCTTGATTTTATNTTCTCAAATTCTTTTGAATTTCTGCAGGACCCCTGAGTCCAAAAATGTAAAAATCTTCAGGAGGTGTTAATTTTTTTGATTTCAGACTTTTCGTATGTTATATATAACACCCGGGAAAGTAAAAATTAAATATAAAGATATGCTTTATATTATTAATATAAAATTTATGAAAGAATATTTAATTTAATAAAAAAAATAGATAATTTGAAATCACGAAATTAAGTGATAGGTATCAATTCCTTGATATATCTAGAATGGTAGAGCTAATATTCATTATCAATGTTTGATCAGGAGTTGTAATTTCCGGTTGAAACATGACCTAACCTCATTTAGAGATCTTCATTTCTGACAACTAAGACCGGGGGCAAGGCAATTTCGGGAAGATTCTACTATCAAATCATCAGAATATCCTATTTTGAATCATGTGAAGGAGTTTTGTAAATAGTTTGTGGGCAAATTTCTCTTTTCAAAATTAATACAAATATTTGAAAAATGTAAACAAAACTTTTCTTTTAATTTTTTCTAAAAACACGTTAAAATGATTGATTTACAATAGTTATATATATATAATTTATAAAAATATTATTTAAAATGTAATTAAATCACAATCTACAGCTATAAAATGTAAATGAAACGTGTTAATCTAATTAGGAACTGAACCCCGAATCTTTCGGTAAGGTAAGAAATACAATAGAGAGGGTGGCCCAAAAATCAGTTAATCCGAGATATGAAAAGTTCAGTTAATTTAGTTAACTGATTTATGAGCCTTTGTGTTTTACTTCGTTAAAAGTCGAGGGTTCGTTTCCAATTCTGAATTAAAATTTTCAATTCCAGAATTAGCACCGATCCCACGTCTCGTGATTTGGATTTTATTCTTTGGCTTGATTTTATAATAAATATTCTATAATGAAAATATTTTTACTATAAATTTAAAAATATTTTAATAATTTAAATTAAAAACGTTAAAATATTTTATATTAATTTATTTATAACTTACGACTAAATAATTTATTTATTACCCTTCAGTGTATCGTATATTTTGCCTGAGATTTAGGTTAATCTATAAATTTTTCTACACGAGTAAAATTTTAATATAATAAAAAATAATTAAATTATGCCGTGTAATAATATTTAAACACTGTAAAAAATTAATTAAAATAATTATTTTAATGTATAAACCATTAAAAATCTGAACATTTTGTCTACTTTAGTCATAAGAGATGTGTTTGGAAAAGCTTAAATTGGATCGTTAATGTAAATCTTCAGGGGAATATTATAAGATATTAAAGTTTTCTACGCTATTTTTTAATAGATCCTTTTATAAAAAATAAATAAATTTAAAAGAGAAAATGAGGGAAACAATATTTATTTAATGATAACAAAATTATTACTTCCTAATAGGTTATAATTATATTTTAGATTTTCTCTCTCCTCGTGGGAGGAATTTCATAATAAATTAAAGTTTTATACGCAATTGAAGACTTAATTTTATTTAAAAAATAAATAAAAATAAAAGAAAAAATAGAGGAAACAACCTTGAATCAATAATATTAAAATTATGGCTACTTAATGGATCATAATTGCGTTCTAACTTCTCTTCCTCTCTCTAAAAGCATCACAATAAATTCAGGTTTTATAAGCTATTTTAAGAAGTTCCCTTATAAAAATAATAAAGAAAATTAAAAAAGGAAACGGAGGAAACAATCCTTAATTAATATCAAGCGTATTATTTCCTAAAGGATTATAATTGCAACCTGAATTTTCTCTCTTCCTAAAAACTTCAGTAGATTGAGAAATGATAGAATTTGTATAGAATGATAAATGAGAGTTATTGGCCTGTAATTTTCAAATTTCAGACATATACATTCCCATTGTGTATCTGTCCTTCGTTATTCTCAAAAACAGAGTTAGATAAATGACCTACATGACTCGATTGTTATCAGGAAAAGTATGATGTACAGGTGTAAGAAGCTACTAAAATCGAGATCGGATGTAGAAAGCTTAGGGACCGAGAACACGATTAACTATATACCAACTTCTTGTCACGACCGGAAGTCAGATAATTTTTTAAAATATATGCTCTCCTACCTCAAATTAGTAGTGGTTTGTCCCTGTACATCATACTTTTCCTTTAAGCATAGAGTCATGCCGGTCATCTATCTAACACCTTCCAGGGAAGATTTTTGAATTGAAATCACGTGACTTCAGGAAGTTCTTATATAGTCAATTAAGGCCTTACGCTTACCCCTAAGCTTTCGATATCTGTTCTTGAATTTCATTTATTTAACACCGTTCTCAAGATTAAGACGGAGATTTCAATGGGGATTTATAGTTTCACAATTTTTTTCAAATTGCAGCTCAATTATAAGGGAATTTAGTAAAGGTATATTTTCTGATAAGAGCAAATTGTGGTTAAAAATGTATAATTTAATTTTTTTAAATATTAAATTTTTTGTTTTATTTTCTAGACGCAGTGAAAAGAGCAGCGATATTCATCCTGGTCAGCACTTTTATCTTGATAATAGGAGAAATATTGTGTTTTTTTGGTCATCTCTTGAGAAGAAGATGGGTGCTTACATTTGCCTCTGGTATCGCCTTTATCCTCTCCGGTAAGTAAATAAATAAATATATTTTTTTAATTTTTTAAAATTAATATAAATTAATTATTAACTGCATTTATTCATTTTAATACTAATTTAATTGTATATAAAATAATTATAATTCCTTATAAATTTTTCTCATAGAAACATTAACTTTCAGATGAGACATTTTTAATTTTAATGATTTTTGTCATTTATTTTATAAGTAAATTTTCTATAAAAATTAATAAAATAAGTAAACATAATTATGATATGATTTAATGAGGAAAATTAATTTAAAAAGAAGAATTTCCTCATTAAAAATAATTTTAAAAAATTAAGTATTGTTTAAATATTTTCCTTCAAAATTAAAAAATAATTATTAATAACAAACTTATTTTTTATTCTTTAACTAGCAAGAATTTAAAGGGATAAATTAAAAAATTTTCAATTTTAAAATCAAAAATTGAGTTATTAATGTGATTAATTATCAATATAAATAAAATTTATAAAGGAAGAAAGATTAAAATAATCCAAACCAATGAATAAATTAATAAGAAAGATATAAAAATAATAAATTCCCATTTATATCTTTTGTATTAATTTAATATATTCTGCAGGGGTGATTTAAATTATCTATACAGAACAAGAATTATTTGAAGGGGTATGCTCTTGATATATGTGTGCTTATAACGTGAAGCGTTAACGTGCATTTATATGCACATTCAATTAAATATTATCTACATAAATCACATTATATAACTTATAAATAGCTGCATAATAAAGTAAATCCTTTGCCTTTATCCGAAGACTTTACATCATCCTGTATAATTACATATTGCTAATAAATATTTTATAAGAAATAGTATAAATTTTAATGTATTATTCGTCAAGAAATATATAAAATTATTAATTTTTAATGTTTATAAAAATTTAAATTTTATACAATAAAATATTTAAAACTTTATCTTTTTACACAATACCATACAAATTGATAACCATCTATTGTAAAGATTTAAAGAAATTATTATTAATTAGTTACAATTACTTTAATTCTATTTAATTTACTAAAATTTCATAAATTCAAAATATACTTTGATTAAATTATTAAAATTTTATTTAATTTTCTAAAGTAAAGAAATTTGTTAAGTCAACATTTCCTTCCTTCTATTCCTTTCTTTTATTCCTTTTTTTGTGTATTTTTATAATGTATTTTATAATTTTATTTTATTATTTAATCTTTGTAGCTTTTTATTTTTTAATTTAACTTTAAAACAAATAGTTTTATGATAAATTTTGTAATAAAAAAATGTCTAGAAGTTATCCTAAATTGGAAGCAGATTAATGAATAGAAAACAATCTAGAATTTGTTTTACTTCGAAAGGAAAATTTTCAATTATTATAGTTACAATTTGTTTAAACTTTGAATATTTATAGAATTAGAAACCGTGTAAAATAATTTAATTTTATTAAATTATACTAGGATTAAAAGAGTCAAATCGACGAGAGTTCCTATATGTTTGCTTTTCTGCAAATCAGGTTGTGTTGTGCAGGGAAGCATATCTCACGTTACAAAAGTATTCTATTAAAAGAATGGCTCAATTCAAGGCTAACCTGTCAATCAAAAATACGTAATGAGGTCTTAGTTTGAATTCAAACATTATATAGTACTGTAAATAAAACTCGTTACGGCAATAATCTGTAAATAAATCTGAAAATAGACAAATAATTTTGTCATTGAACCACTTTTTCACGTAAGAACACGCTGTGAATTTAGTTTTTTGTTGAATTATATATTTATTTCCGTTGTGTGCGTGGTATCACTTAAATTACAGGAACCATAGAAGCGCGTGATAAAAGAATAAATAAAATAAAATATAGAAGAGATTTTTATTTATAAATAAGGAAAGGAAACAAGAATGTCATTTTGATTAATTATACTAAAATATAATTTTTTAATGTCAAATGTGAAAGATATTTTAGAAAATCGACAAGAATTAAACTTCGTGTAGCTTATATTATCTATTTATCGCTCCTTTCTTCATTCTTTCTTCCTTTTTTTGAGGGGAGAAAAGAAGAAGCAGAAATAAAGGTGACAAATAGAGTTTCCTTTATTTTTTCCTGTCCCTTTTTCTCTCTTCTTTCGTGTATTCTTAATAAACTTTTCATTCGCCTTCTTTCTCCCATACACATCTTGTATTCTCTCTTTTGTTTTTTCTGTTATCCTCGTTTATCCACGCACGTTCTTTGATTTTTCTTTCTTATCTGTAAATAATTCTTCTTTCTCTTCTACTAATGGAAAGTTCATATTTAGGAGGGTAAATAATGATTTGATATTTGAACCAGTGTTAATTGGCACGGTGATATGATTGTCAAAGTTTTATATAGTTTGATTTTCAAACCTGGTGTTGGATTTCTATCATCTCACTATGATCCATAAGGATGAAACAATTGATTTTCTCTCTTAACTTCATTTAAATGTATTACAAACTATTTAACAGTTTCAGTTTATAAAAACTTAGTAAATGTGTGGTAAATAATAAAATAAATTGTTCCTTAGTTAAGCTAAATTTATTCACACCAATTTTTTTTTCAGTATTATTTACAAAAATTGCTATTCAAGTACACCAAAATGTATTGTGTGGTCTATGAATTGTCTAAAAATAAATTTAAATTCTTCAACGGAAACATATATTTCTAATTATATATTTGGGTTGTACGTTAAATAAGTATTTGTAGATAAATCCTATATAAAATATAAATAAAATATAATTCTAAGTGTAATTTAAGTATTAAAGAGTTATCTAATAATTCTTACAGACAAAATATAAAACAAGATATATAAGAAATTAGGAAATACATAACGATCAGATAGAAAAGATATTACAGACATTACAGCTCCTTGAACTGTTTTGTATTTTATATAAAAACATGAAATTTAAATAATATAAGTTAAACTTATTTTGTTAGCATTCATTAACATTTTATTTACAGTATTTTACAGTTAACTAATAGTGTATATCTCATACAAACACACAATGCTATATACAGTTCATATGATTTATATAAGAAGAAAATTCAGCAACGAGTTGTGTAACTTTCCCGGTAACATTNTACCTGAAATTCATTAGACCCTTCTATCAACGTCACAATTATATAAATATTAAAGAATAGAGTGTTAAAATTCTACAATTTTCATCTCTTTTTATTTATTTTAAAATTATAATCTGTATCGATTTAGTTTTGATTTTAATTAATATCTTAACCCATATCTTTCGATAATACAAGTATACTATACGCTCCAATGGTTACAGCATTTCAAAGTGTGGGTTCAGATCTAAATTTCTATCATATTTACATTCTGTATTACTTACAAACTTTACAGAAATTGTCTAAAATAAGATCCTTCTTATTCAATACAAGTTATAATGCTTTGACAAATTAATTCCTCGATAACTTGCCTGATACGGTTAATTCACTTTTGGACCACTCCATATATATATATAACAATAAACATATCTTAAAAATAATATATTTTATTGTGCTTTTTAGTATTTTTTTGTTTTTATTAATGGAAAATAATGGATATATATATAGGGCCTATATAATTAAAAAGTTGAATGTTTATAACATTTAACTTTTTTAATATGTAATAATGTAAGATTTCACAGCATATTTTCAGTCCAAGCATTCATACAATAGAAAGTTTTAACGAAGATTTTACGTTAAGTATTTTACAATTCATTAAAAAATTTGTAACTAATACTGTACTATTGCTTTAATCTCCGTTCGTTCGTTTGTCTAGACGTAAATTCCTGAATTTAATAGGCCAGAATCCTCGTAATATCTGATTAGAAAGAATAAATGTTATGTAAAATTTCATTTTTAGTCGCTAATTTCTTTCAAAATGACGACTGAAAATGTAACGTAGGATATTTATTAAATTTAACGCCTTCTAAAATATAATTTTCTATGTTTTTACATTAAATTTATTAGAATTATACACAATATTTTTACTTAATATATATTTTTTCGTTTGCTTAAGTATTCATTTTACATATAACTTAAATTTTTACTTGTATAAATATATAATAAAATTCTTCAAAGAAAAAAGAAAATCTATTGATTAGTATTCAGTGTTATGATACGTTATTAATTAGTAACAAAATACAGAGTGGCCTAAAAGTCTGTTAACCGTTATAAACACGAAATTGCTACTTGATTCAAGTGTTAAAGTACATAATTATGTTCCTACCATAGAAAAACATGCTGCTATAATTAGTTTATGCATATTTATAAGCATAGCTGGAACATACAAAAACATAACTCGGTCAACTGACTTTTGGGCCACCCTACATACAATAAACTTTGCAATAATTAATATAAATTAAAGCTATACTTAGTTTTATGCAGAATATAATCAGAAAGATGTTTTTTCTTAAATAATCAATGTCGCAATTTTGATTGATACACGCCTTTTGAAGCATTCCCCCTATAGTTAAGTATGTTTTGAGGTGATGGATGAGGAAAGATGTAGAAATTCTAATTTCTATTATATCTATAAGGGAAAAAATAACAGAAAAATATTAGAGATGGCCATCATTTATCAGGATTACAGAGGATAAGTTCCTGAAAGTTGTAACTTTTAGTATCAGAATCCTAAGTTTGTGTACTTCCTCAGGGTTTATGACTAGATATTACTGTCATCAGTTTAACAATTTAAAATGATTTTGGTATTAAAACTTCTTATATTCATATATAATAGTGAAGACTAAAGTCATTAGAATGTTTTCGTTTCGTTCATGTAGTGAAGCATTTAATGCTGTTAGAAGTCGCGACATGCTTTTTGATAATCCTCATCCAAAACGATCATAAGAATGGATTCATAAGGAAAACTTCGTATGTATGCATCCTTATGTAGTCTATAAGGAAAATCTATAAACATTTTATCCTCTAGAAAAGTCCTTATCGTAGGATAAAACCTTGATGGATCCATCTAAGTCATACATAAGGGTTTTATCGTTTAATGAAGTCCTTATGGATGAACTGTTGATGGAATGAGTCCGCATGAATCAGTAATATTCGTGTTAAAATATGCTTAAATAATTATAACAGATTATATACATTTCGTAGAGTTTATATAGAATGATTGTGACTGATGCTGATTAATCTACAGAGGAATTGTGATAGATCATGATCAGTCATTCTCCGTAAAGACGGTTTCAACAGATCATGGATATGCAACAAGCATCACTACCCATAGAAATATATATATATATATATATATTATAATTTTTGCCTTTCCTTTTTAAATAAGTCTTCAGGACATCAATTTTGTAGACGATAAAATACTACAATTTAATATGGCTTAAAAATTTTACTAACAATTTTTTAATTATTTTGGTAATCTCACACGTCTAGTTTAGTTGTATGCTTCAAAATGTCTTAAAAAATAAAATAATAAGAGAGTTAAAAAATGATAAAATACCTGAAATTCATTAGACCCTTCTATCAACGTCACAATTATATAAATATTAAAGAATAGAGTGTTAAAATTCTACAATTTTCATCTCTTTTTATTTATTTTAAAATTATAATCTGTATCGATTTAGTTTTGATTTTAATTAATATCTTAACCCATATCTTTCGATAATACAAGTATACTATACGCTCCAATGGTTACAGCATTTCAAAGTGTGGGTTCAGATCTAAATTTCTATCATATTTACATTCTGTATTACTTACAAACTTTACAGAAATTGTCTAAAATAAGATCCTTCTTATTCAATACAAGTTATAATGCTTTGACAAATTAATTCCTCGATAACTTGCCTGATACGGTTAATTCACTTTTGGACCACTCCATATATATATATAACAATAAACATATCTTAAAAATAATATATTTTATTGTGCTTTTTAGTATTTTTTTGTTTTTATTAATGGAAAATTCTCTTTATGTGGTCACATTTGTCAAATCTAATAAAAAAAACTCTTCAGCTTCATCGATTTGGCTATATTTAGTGGATTATTTGAAGCTTGCACAACATTATAATTACATATTACCTCGTGCTTGGCATTAAATATTCACTTATAATTTAAATTCGGCATGTAGCTTTACTAGAAATTAAGAAAAGTTCATAAAAATGAAAAAAACTACTTATTTATATTCTCTGAAAATTTATGTTTCCCCATTATAAGCCTTTGTATTATTTAAGGATTTGCTATGTAAAGTTTGACTGTACTAAAGAAAATAAAGGTCCAAAATTTAAGTTATCGATTTCAATTTCATGTATTTACTGTATTTAATAAATTTAAAACTCTTTAACTCTACAGACTTATTAATTAATGTAAATATACTGTTTTAGCATCTCTATTTTCTTATTGTATTTTCTCCTATCTTTTCCTGAATATCAATATTTTCGGTTCAATACAATCATTATTTTAATGATAACATTGGAAAATTCTATTGTCTTCCTATATAAATTTAATTTGATTGTGTGTTTTTTATAATTATTTATATTATTTCATTACACTTGTACATAATTAACTTATTTAGCATCTCAAACTTTATCCAGCATCGAAACTCTATCCAGCATCTTATACAAATGTATTTAAGCGTCAATAATTGTTCGTAAATTAGAATATTTTGCATTGTAATTAACTAAACAAAAAATCATTATTATTAATATAAACTTAATTTCCCCTTTTTTATGATAAAAAATAATTTATAGTTGAACTCTAAGATTTTCCTCCATTTTTCTACTATTAATTTAATCTCATCTCTGAATTCATCCAAAATAATTTACTCGAGAAACTTGGATTCTGTGAATGGATAGCCTTGATTAAAATGTTTTTATATTCAAATTAAAGAATAATGTGAGTTTGAATTAACAATAAAGCAAATACCTACAGTCGAATTCGGTTTGAATCAGTTTTTTTCATCCTCTTTCATTCCCATCCATGATCTTACCATCAACCCTCATCTCTCGTCCATAAAGATACTTTTTATCCACTTAAAATTTTATATTTTTCAANACTCTTTAACTCTACAGACTTATTAATTAATGTAAATATACTGTTTTAGCATCTCTATTTTCTTATTGTATTTTCTCCTATCTTTTCCTGAATATCAATATTTTCGGTTCAATACAATCATTATTTTAATGATAACATTGGAAAATTCTATTGTCTTCCTATATAAATTTAATTTGATTGTGTGTTTTTTTATAATTATTTATATTATTTTCATTAATTAAGTAATCAGACTTAATATTTTCTTCTGGAGATCCACAAATTTGAATAATTTACGTATTTTTGTAAAGTTAAGTCAGAAAATAAAAACCTGTGCTCAGTAAACTTAACAGGTCAATTTTTAAAGAAACGTGAAGAGAACAACGCTTATAACTACCTCACGTAGTTACTTGTAATAAATTGGGCACTTCAACAAAGTGAATCGTTTCCCCTCCCCCTTTTCTGTCCAATAGCCTGCAGAGCGGATGAATCATAAAGCAATTTGTAATGACAGTGACAGAGCCATAAGCATTTTTAGCACTCCGGTTAATCCGTTTTACGATTAATGTAATCCCGAGTAATCGAGAGGCTACTGTAATTTGTAGTTTTAATAAAGTTCTTCTCTATAAAAATCAACATAATACATAATTACGTTATATTTGTCATTAACAATGATTATTAACACTATTTAAAATAATAATTCTTTTTATATATTTCTTACCTTTAACATTCCAGGCTTTTGTATATAACATAAGGAAAATATGGCGATCAGTCAAAAAATAATCCCCAAGATTTTTACATTTTTGGACTCAGGACACATTGAAACATTGAAAATTGTAAATGCTAATAGCGAGTAAAATCGCCATTAAGTCCGACCCCACTCGAGATATAACACACGATTCCTCTTTATTTCCCCATCCTTCGACCTTTAACAACCAAAATTTAATAGCATCAGTCCCTCTAATACACAAACCTCTCTGCAAAATTTCAGAAATTTTTGACGAAAAGCGCAGGAGTTATTAAGCTTCAAACAGGGTGAACACAATCGTGCCCCACATATAAATACACTAGCATCCACACATACAGAAAAAACCCCAGAATTTTTGCATTTTTCTATGTTTCAAGATCATCTGAGTCCAAAAAAATGTAAACATCCGGAGGGGTAATTTTTTTACCTATCGTCATACTTTCCCTCTGTTATATTAATACATAACAGAGCCGAAAAAGTAATAAAATATAATTGAAATAAATATAAAATACCTAAAAAAGATCAGATTTAAATATATTTTATCATATATTTTTTTCGTTATAATTAATTCATATTTAACTTATTTTAATTTATTTTATATAATAAATAAGTTAACTTATTAAAAAATTAAATACTTAAAGGCAAATACTCATAGAATCTATATAAAGGTAATGTTGGGTGAACCAAAAGGTATGTAATGCTTCATCAAACCTGAAGGATAAAGTATAGGCCTATAAACTTTACTCAAACCCCATTCAAATTATATTTGAAGCGATTTATGTTACAAAATGTTCAATATGTTTGTCCTCGATCTTTATAACATGGAGGGAATTGACTGGTCTTAATACCCTTTAAATGCAAATTCTCAAGATTACTTTGCATTACTTGCAAGAGTTATCTTCATGCAAAGTAATCTTGAGAATTTCTTTACACAGAGATGTCATTTCTAAGATAAACAAGCAAAATTTTCGCACTTATTCGATGACTAGAATTTCAAAAGTCTTTGATATATTCATAAAAGAAATAACTAGTGTCAAAGATTGAGATCTGGAGAATCTCAAGGATTCTCCATATCGTGAGTATGAAATCTTCGCTATTTTGGAAGACATTTTTCAAAATGTGATGTCAGACATCGCGAAAAGATTAAAGAATGATATTTACATGAAAAGAAGTCTCCAGGATCGAGAAAATACGCAGTCCATTTCATGGTACTTTTCGTAATCTTGAAGTTGAGGTCAAACATATTGAACACATTGTATATAAATGGCTCCAAATGAAGACTTGAGTAATATTTAAGTAAAAGTTTTTATGCTTTATCATTTAATTATGATAAAGCATTAAATTTGGTATATATCTTTTGGATCATATTATGTAGAGATTATTAAAAATATAGTGATATATAAAGTCATTTAAATTACTTATAAATATATAAAAATTCGAATATTTTATTATTATTATTTTTTCTTTCTTTTCTAGGTTTATTGATTTTAATGGGAATGGTCATTTATATATCGACATTTAAAGCAGAAGTTGGGAATAAGTTAAGGCCTAAGTCTTCCTTTCAAGGCCCCATGTTTAAATATAGTTATGGCTTCTCATTTCTTTTAGCAGTCGTTGGTCTAATGATGTGCGAATTAGCAGGAACGTTCGCCATTTTTCTTTATATACAAAAATACGAAGAAGAAATAAAGAAAAAGGCCGAACGCCAAAAATACGCAGATTTTCTTCCTCAAGGGGAAGATCACGTGCCTTGTCGACGTCATCGTGGTAGAAAAAACAGTAGAGCACGAGAAATGTCACGCGAGGCATCACCGTGTCCATCAACAAGTCGTGGACGTCGTCCTACAAATACAGGGATCGCGTTGTCAGAATCTATGCGTGATTTAGCATATTGTAATTTCCCCCCTTTCTCTAGGGACACCACGTGCAATACTGTTTCTACTACAGCAGACATAAACAGGGAATATTCACGAGATTTTTCTTTCGATACACTGAGGCGCACCACTCCAGTGTGACGATTGTGCACCCCAAAATAAACAAAAAAAATTAATGTTTTAAGAAGTATCCAGGTGCTTTTTTGGTATATAATTACCATATCAACATATGTTGGCATCATTTAGACAACGATGTATGGGAGCTTAGTAGGACAATAGTCTTCCCTATGATGTTTCATGGTGGCGAAGATTTTTTCCTCATCTATCGATAATTGAAATTCATCAAGTGCTCACCGAAAAAACAAAACAAAAAACATACAACGTCATTTTACATTTTGGAAGGCCCACTCAAAAAAAAAAAGAAATGAAACAAAATACATCACCAAAATTGCTCAGAACCTATCCTTTGTGCCTTCCACGCTGCTTCCACGAATGATTTATGTTTTATCAATTTCGTTCGAGATAGTTAAGTAAAATTATAAAATATACATACACAGGAAGAGCTCGCGTCATAATTGAACACCCCTATAACCAACTCCCCTTTTGGTCCACGAATTCATAACTCCTCCCCGCGCTAAACAATACATTCTTCCTCTTTTAAGAAAACACACAAGAGAACATTTGCTTCTTTCTTACTTTCTTACCGCATTTAATTCATAGTTAACATTTGGTATGCAGAAAATCGCATATCATAGAGTACATTACAACATCGTGTTTTCATAATAATCATATACGAATAAGTCCATCATCATACAAAAAAAACAAACAAATAAATAAATAAATAAATAAATAAAAATCGATCATCATTTTGCTGGAGCAATTTCAAGACATAATTCCAGCCTATCATTAAATAGGTGTTCATCAATTAATAAAAGCCGATAGTAGTAGAAGAAACACGTATGATAAACAATACTGCATCTCTTCGTTATAAAGAGGGATTCGGTGTTTTCAACTCTTTTGTAGACACAAGTAGGAAAACAATAACAAGCGGTATAACGAGGGTTTCTCGACATTTTTTGCATTTCGTGCCATTTAGAAATAACCAGAAAATTGTGTCTGGCTTTAAAAAAAAAGGATTGAAATTAACATTTGAAGATTGCTTAATTGCCCCTTTTATTAGGGACACACTGGCTCCAGCCACTGCCATCTACTCACGCAGCACACGTAGCTATCCCCATCGGCATGTTCTTAGTCATGTACAGATCTGTTTTTATATTATTCATTATAAAAAAAGGCTAATAAAGTTATTAAAGGACGATTTTAATGTGTGAATTTTATTTAATTATTTGTCTTTTTAACATTTGTTATATTCGGTTTTATAAAAATTCTGAGACATATCGTAGGAGATCATCAGAAAATTTATTGCTATGTAATCAAAAATAAATTGGTATAAAAATAAAAATATTTGTAGTTAATAAAAATTGAAAAAAAATTACAAATTGTTTTAGTTAAAAGACTCCAATAAAACTCAATTTATTTTATTTTGTTTACCGGGACATTTTTGGAATGAAATGCATTCTTTGGATCAAGAGATTAAAGTAAAATTCATTTTTTATCTAATAAAATGGAGTAAAATGTAATCCTTCAATTAAAAATTCGAATAGAAAATAAAAGTTTTCAGTTAAAAGAATTCAAAAATACTAATTACAATTTATAGATATAACAATTAATAAAATAATTTATTAATCAGTCATTTAAATAAGGTAGAAAATTTATGATCAATAATTAATATAAACCAGGATAATTGTAAGAAAATTAAATTTCTAAATTTGTTAATTATTGTATTCCTGACTTAATTTTATAAATTCTAAAAGACTTAAAGGTTGCAGTTTACAAAATACATTAAGGTAATTAATTATTTGTACCAGATGTTTATTTAAAGTGGAGCACGAGTGAAGTATAATGAATTTAAAAAGCTTGTTCCTTGATAATTCTCTAAGATCCATATACACGAGAAGGAAGATACTTTTCACATTCTCTTGAATAATGAAACACCCTTAATAGCATTTCTTCAATGTTTTAGCTTTATATGAAACATATACAATAACTTAAACATTATTTCTTTACATAAAAATATACCATATTTTCCTCACAATTTAATTAAACTAACGTTAACCAAGTTTTATCATGTGAAACCCCCTCTTTCTTGAAGACAATTAATGAGTCGAAGTATGTCCACCAAATTATCATTAAGGTTTATATATCAAGAGAAATGTATACACATTAATATAAAGGGGGTCACGAACCTTAATAGTCGTTAACCTGATTATAACTTTTATCAACTCTGCAGCTTAACTGCTGAAAATCAACTAAAACTTCTGCTTAACGATCAAAGGTACACGCGTTAAGTAATATAATTTCAAGAATTGTTAAGTAGAAAGATCTGTGTGTTTTTAATAAATAAAAAGATAAGTTTCTAATGTCTTAATTTATTATATCTTATGATTAATATAATTATACTTCACGTATTAACAAAGGTTTTTAACATAATATAATAATTAATTTTATACAAAGAAAAAAACTCAATTCCTTCCATCGATTTTCTTAACGTATACCTAAATATATACTAGAAAAAATAGCTGTAAATGTAATAATGATTTTATATATTATAATCGAATTTAATAGAAATGGGCTCGAGGTTTCTACTTAAAGATCAGACACACAGACTAACTTTTTATTTTTTATTTTTTTAATGGCTTTTTTTCAAAAATTTTTCTTTTAAAAACAGTAATAATTTAAATATTATTTTATTTTAAAATAAAAAAAAAGTGAGTAAATTTATGTTTAAAATATAAAGAGCGGTTTAAAAGTCTATTGACCAATATATATTTTGAGAATGTGTAAAGCCAATTTTATTATTTATAATAATACATTAATAAATAAAATATTTACACTTCATATTTTTATAGTCGTGGAAAATTTAATTTTTGAACATTACTTTGTGGTATTTTACCAAATGCATGCCGATTTTCATGTTTTTTCCTTCTAAAAAAACACAAAAAAACATGAGAATTGATATAAAAAAACATATTCATTACAGTAAATACTACAGTAAAACCTGTCTACACGGAAAATAAATCTAAGAACGATTTGATAAGTAAAATGCTAATGTAACCTGTCTAATGCGGAAAAATAAGACTTTTTATAGTAAATAGGGAATTTTCTCAGCATAACTGAAGCTAAATTATAAATAATAATTCATACTTTAAAAAAATTAGGGGTTTTCCCCCTAAATGTATGGCTGTTTGTGTTGGTGTGGAAGGCACGATTTTCTTCACCCCAGTTTGAAGCTTAATAACTGCTGAGTTTTTTGCCGAAAATTTCTGAAATTTTGCAGCAAGGTTAGTGTATTAGGGGAATTAATGCTATTAAATTTTGAAGATTCAAAGTCAATGGGTTGGAGAAATAGAGAGGGTCGTGTGTCATGTCTCAAATAGGGTCAGACATAATGATTATTTTACTCGCTATTAATATTTGTAATTTTTTATAAAACCCGTCTGTACCCTGAAAATGAAGCATTTTACCATTTTATAATAATAAATAATATAAAAAGTTTGTAAAATAAAGTCTCATAACAGATGGCGCCACACACAATTTTAGTTTTTTTTGCCGGAATAGTTACGCAACTCGTTTTTTCTCTGTTTGGAAAGTTCCGTTATAAACAGGTTTTACATAATGTCAATGCTTTATATTTATATATATATTTTTTATATTAATTAAATTAAATTTTATAAAAATTGCCTTAATGACGTTTAGGGATTTATTAATAAATAAATATCATTAATATTGTCTAAATAATCATAATTATAATAAAATTAATTACATAATTAAAGTATTTAATGTGTTAGAAATATCATTTAAATATTTAAAATAATATTGTTTATAAACAAAGAAAATGCACCATTTAATTACAAAAATCTTATAAATGATGAAGTATCAACGTCATTAGAATTAAGAAAAAATTTAATTAATGTCAATTAAGAATAAAAGAATAAATTCCGTTCATATTTTAATGATAATTAAGAGAAATGGGAAGTTTTTTTAATGAGATTTTAATACAATTTACACTTTTTNATTAAGAATTTATTAAATAATAAAAAAATCTTCAGCAAATATATCGATAATGAATATTAGAACGAAAAATTATAAATATTGACACATAATAATGGGATTTTTTCACTGAAGGACCTAAAGATAAAGTAGTATATTGAATTTATTTGTACAGCTTCCTTTCATATAAGTTTTGCTGGCAATTTTTCTTGACATCATCCATCTTATAGCAGCACATAAGTTCAAATTAAATGACAAACAATCTTCCTATACCGTTAAAACCATAGAATCCTGTGATATAGCTCTTTGATGGGCTTACTGAGATCTTAGAATAATCTCTTCAGTTCCCAAAATTGGCTCTATTTTCAGTGAAAGGAATGTACTCGTGTGTTCGACATTGTTTGGTGTCATTTTATCTTCTTAAATTCTAATATTTTATACTTTTTTTGCTGTATAACATAATACAGAGTCAATATAGTTTTGTTTACAGAAGCTGACTTTGAAATTTCAATCGTTAAAATCTTAAGCAAATAATCATAGTAGTTTCATAAATATAGAGAATCTCACAAATTAAAATATGTAGAATTTTATATTGAATACATGTTTAAGATTTTATTGCAAAAATTTCGAATTATTTCTATGGTATTATGCCCCCCTAAGCTTTCCATATTCGGTCTCCATTTTCAACTATCTAACTCCATTCTCGAGATTATCGAAGGACAGACAGACAAACAGATAACAATTGGAATATATATGTCTGCAATCTGAAAATTGCAGCCCAATTATTAGATAATTTATCAATCAATATATCGCGATCTCTTCTAAATTTTAAACTATATTCTGATACCTTCAGCGTGTTAAAAGTTGTCACTAATTAACAAATAGCTAGAAAAATATATATTCTAGAGTATATAATTTGCAAAAATTGTGTAAAATAATATATATTTTAACAGCTTATAGAGTTCATTCAAGTCTTAGTTATATTCTTTATCTTGGTTTTAAGTAGCAAAAACAAAATATCGATATGACAAACACTCGATGACAAATGATATTTTTTAAGTTACCTTTAGCTTTGATGATTTTATCTTTATTTTCTTACAATTTGGCTTTTTTTTCTCCCTCAAAATATTTTTTCATTTTTTCCAATGAATATCGATCGTATCAATGTTTTAATCATTTATAAAATAGAAATTATATTAGAAAAAAACAAATCAAACACTCCTTTTTCTCATTTAAAACGTGACCAACGAGTAAAATAATTAATAAATAGTAACAAATTTTTAAATATTTTTACAAGATTTTTGAATTGATATTAAACGAAGAAATAAGTTATTTTTAAATTACTTTTTTTAAAATGTATTTTAGGAAAAATTAAATAGAAAATCGCATTCAAAATAATAATAAAATGCAAATTATACAGCATTTAGATGTATCATATTTTTGAAAAATTAAAAGAAGTAAGAGTTAAAATTTCTAAAATTTTTTATTTAAATTTTGAAATTCATAAATTATTTACAATGTAAGATATAAAATAAACTTTAGGTAGAGAAGTCTACACACAAAAAATTAAATTTTAGAGAACTTTCTGTGTTCCTAGACACAATTCATACCTTAAAATTCATTCTTTCATGCCAAAATCTGCCACGAATATAAAAGAAATCAATATATTTTTGATTAATGTGTTTGTGTTTAGTGATTTTATTCATATTTTCTGTGACTTTTAAAGAGGGGTGAGGCACTACATCTGGGTTCCATTTTACTTTTCGTAGACCCTGTACATAAATAAACGGTATGTAAGACAGGGCGTTAAACAAGCATTCTTCACTTATATTGTAGATACTACGCATCATGCCGAGTAAAAGCTTTAACTCGACCGTTTTTAAATAAATAATTACGAATTTTTGAGGATTCGGGACTGTGAAGATGTGGAAATGAAAGGAGAATAATTGTATAACATTCTGTACATATCGAGGTAAAGATTTGGCATTTACACGATTATTAGCATTTACAATTTTTTATAAAACCAATCTCTACCCTTAAAGTTAAGCTTTTTGCCATTCTGTAATAATTAAAAATATAAAAAGTTTTTAATAATAAGATATCATAACAGATGGCGCATCACGCACGTTTAAATGTTGCTAGGAAAGTTAAGGAACTCATTGCTAGATTTTCGTCTTATGTGCTAAGGTTTTGTACTCAGTACGGTGTGTACAATCCTTCAAATAAATGCCGAATGCTTTTTTAGCGCCCTATATTTTGGGGGCGTCATCAAAGCTAAATATTACAATTAATATACAGTAGTTCCCCCTATAAAACTGTTTCCTATAGTTACGATTCCTATAAGACGGCGAAAAAATTGTGGCGGTATCCGTACACAACGGTAAAATAACTCCTATAATTACGTAAAACGTCATCGGGCAGCCGAACTACTTTCCCGCCGTCCGTAGCGCCACGCTACGGACGTTTAGGCGAATAAATTGAGTTTAGTTTCGTCTGTACATATAATTATACATAAATTAGGTACTGTACATATAATTATATATTAAGTTAATTTATTGTAACTTTATTATAATTATATATATATTTTTCGCCGTCTAGTGGCGCTACGGAGAGTTTAGGCTAGCTATCGTCTGTACAGTATGTAAATTAGGTACCGTAAGTCTAATATAGCACTGTAATTTTATACGTTTCTTGTGAAAGAAACATTTCTTATTTAAGGCCATAAAAATTATTTATATTAATAATGTCTCCAAAGGTCAACGAAGTTTTCGCAGAAAAATAATATCAGAAATCGCGGCCGGCGTTTGATGAGCTGTTCCGCGACGAAAACAAGCTTTAGCAACGGGCGTAGTCGAACGGTGCACGCTCGGTAAGTAATCCTACAATTTTTTGTTTATAACGTAGTTTATACGGATTATTTCCAAAAAAATATACCTTGTATTTAAATATCGTAATTTTATTGATTATTCTTAGCCTTTACACGAGCATAATCTTCATTTATAACCAATTAGGTCATTTTAACTTTCACTTTTTTTTTCTTGTGGATGATTATATTATACAATTCTTAAATATAAATTGTTAAAAGTGCCCTTTGGATAATTGGAAATAATACAAAATAGGAATATTACATAAATTAAACAATTCAAACAACATTACTTGTCTGAATAGTTGTTATATTCTCTTATGTTTCAATTGTGACGAAGTGCTTTTGTGTTCTGTAATATTCCTCCTCATAGTAGACACATCAAGTTCTCAACTTTCTCACAATAAACACGGGTTTTGTATTTACTGTGTTCGTGACAAGTAAGAAAGAAAGAGAAATATCGAATTTCTTAATATTATGTTATATATTTTATGATAATTTTTTTAGTTATGTTAACGTTTTAATCTCAGTTTTTCATTAAAAAAATATGCAATTAGACTATTGTATTTTGTAAAGTTTTTTCTTTGCTGAGTCGAAACATGATGATCATAAAATGGATGTAAATGATTATCTACCATATTGTTATGGACAAAAATCACTTCAGAAGCCTTTAAAACATAAAATATGCCTAAAGAACTTTGAATTTTGAACTCCACAATTGTCATTCCTTCCATCTTAAATCATTGTTGTGTAGGATTCAATCTATAAATTTCTTTCCTTTATCATATTAATAAAAGCCAGTAAATAATATTTATACACATTTAAAAATTTTTAGAGGAGATAAATACTAATTTCTATCAATTATTTTAAAATAATATTATAAATACAAGAAGATTTTCTTTATCTTCATCATCAGTCTGCTCCATAGTTACATACAGTACATGTTACTTTTACCGCCATACACATAAAAATATAAGAACAAATTTAAAAAAAAATTAAATATAAAATCATAAAGATGATTTATGATTATCTTTGTCTGTTTGGCAAAAATAAAAATATTATTGGATGATTGAGAAAGTTTTTGTCTTCCCCCAACTGCAAAGTCATTTTACAAATGACACCTACACGGTGAATTATAAATAAACCGCTCATTTGTAGATATTTTATGATTGAAAATTATTTCGAAATAATAAAAAAAATTCTCTTATGAATGTATGCGATCTCATTCAAAATATAAATACAATAGGCTCTCAACTATTCGAGATCGTATTAACCGGAAAGCGGATTAACCAAGATACAAAAAGTTCCTATGAGTGAGGTCCTAAGTCATCATAAAGCGCTTTATGATTTATCCGCTTTGCTAGCTATTAATAACATCAAAAATAATCTTAATAGTACCCGGAATGATCCCGTCAACTAAGAAAAACCCGGCATAGGTACAGTATATTAAAGAAAGTAACTATTGGGCGCTTCCGAGATCTTTAGGAGGACCCCTTAGGAAGAAGGGGTCCTCCTGAAGATCTCGGATCTCGGAAATTTAGTTTTATTTAATATAATACTAATTTTAATATTACTTTCTTAATTAAATATAAAAATAGTAATTATTATAAATAATAATAAAAAATATATAATCGTATAAAAAACAAGAATTTTTTCGATTATGACTGATTTTATAATTTTATTAATATACATATATTTATATTTGTACTGTAATAGCTTAATTACATAAATTATTATGATATTATTTAATTTTTATCAGGAGTTTTTAGTGAAAATAAGTTATAATAAAATTTAAACACAAATGTGGCACTTAGGAAGATGGAGATCGAATATCTTCAGAGTTATACCTTTCTTTATATTCCTGAAAATCCCCAGTGGATGATGATTTATGTTGGTTTTTCTAAGGTGATTTTACGGGTCAGATGTTCAAAAAACATCGCATTTATCATATAATTCAATATCGAAACATCATCAAATATTGGATACGAATGTGCATTTGTCATAATATTTCAGCTTTGAAAGATTCAATCCAAATTTTACGCATAACATCCAATAGTTGTATCTCATATCTATTCTGCTGTATAAATGTTAAGTTTCATGATTTATAATAAAGCAAAATATTAATTTAATTAATAAAAGTTAGTAAAAAATCAAATACCTAATTATATTTATAAAATTTAGCGTAAAAACTTGACATTAAACTTATCGCGCACGTTGTTATATTATTTACCATTATAATAATTAACTAAAAAATAAAAATAAAAAATATTTTTTCTTTCCCACATTCTTTAAGTAGAATGACCCATTTTGCTTGAATTTGGAATTGAAAGCTTAATATTGAAATTATGTTTCTTATATTTAAAAAAAATATAGGAAATTAAGGTAAATGTGTGCTAAACAGGATGGCCAAAAAGTGGGTTTTCTTAAAATATGCTTTAAAAGGGTTAAGCAAGAAGTGGAAATTTCAATTGAACTGGACTAACTATAGAGATATTTACTATCGTAAGCGCCGCCATTTTATCTTCCTACTAGGACTTACCAGGTGAACTTGTTGTCCCTTTACCATAACGCGTGGCCAATCTTCGACAAGGGAGAACTGTCTGCCTTCTATTTACTACGAAGTCTTGAAGTTCTCAATTCAAACCAAAGTCGATGCTCTCCTATGCCGATGATACTACTGACGATCTCTTTCTTCTAACCTTCCATTCCAGATCGCTTCCTCTGAATCCATAAATCTCTCTTCTTGCTCCCCTTCTATTTATTTTAGATGGCACTAGCAATCAAGGACCACGTAATAAGGAGCCTTAATTGTGAGCACATGCAAAATTCAAAAGTGCCGGCCGAAGAATTCATCGTCTTCTACACATAGAAGAATTTATGGCGTTGTTTACTCGTTCGTCACCCTCTAATAAGTCCTTTTAAGGACTTGTTTCCCAATGTTAAGCTCAGTTCAGTTTTCAACAAGTTAATATATCAGTAACATACCGCGATGTTACTGAAATTCTATTTAGCGATTATTTTTTAAATCTATTAAAAATCAATGTATCATGACAAATAAGATTAATACGAAAGTTGAAAAGAAAATATTTACATAATTTCTATATAAATTCATTAAATATTGATTCAAGAAATTCGTCTGAAGAACGTGTGAAACACATGTAGTATGGAAGAGGTTATCCAAAGCAAATTCTAAATACTCAAATTAGTAAAGTACATTATTCTATTGATGTAGTAAACACTTGATACCAAACAATTTGATCTTCGCTATTCTTTATTTATATAGTAAACTTTTCATAGTGAATGATTTATCTCAGTCATTGAATTCGCTGTATCCAGAATGTACGAAAAAAACTTTAAATTCGAATAATTCTAAAATGTTATGTTTAGTGCCAAATTTTATTATTATTATTTAAAAAAATTCATTACCAAAATGGAAAAATCACATTATATATAGAATTAATGTTTGCTGGTTGGTCCCAATTACACCCGTTACAGTAGGGATTTGCCCTCAATGGGGTCAACCAGTATAAGTGAAAAAATGGAAAATAACATCTGACATCAAAGAAACTTAATAAATTAAATAATTATTTTAATAAAAACTCGATAAAACTTTTCCAAAAATTATTTATTTTAGTATTTTGTAAACGAACAGTTGAAACGTTTTTAAATATTTTGGTGTTTTTTAGAATTCAAGAGCCATGGACAATTCCTACAGAATATTCACATAAATGATTATATATATAAAAATGACAAAATAATTATTGTATTATATTTTATGTATTAATAACTAAAATAATCATTTATTTAAAAAGTGTTTTAGAAAAATATCATAAAACATAAAGTGGCAACGTTATTTTTCCGAGTGAGTAGATGTCACCATCTGGTGGTGCAAATCAACATTACTTTTAGAATTTTATTAATATTAAAATAATAATTTTAATCTTTAAATAAATTTAATGATAATTATTGTATATTATAATTTATAAAGATTATTATTATTATTATATTTTATTAAAATTTAATAAATACTATAAAATATACTTTAAAATAAAGAAGCCAGTAAATCAAATTTTTAAATATATTTAATGATTTAAACAACAATTCAAAAATAACTCAGAAAACGTTTAATATATTCATCATACAAACAATTATCAATAAAAAAAATTTCATAGATATCAGACAGCGCGGCCATTTTGAAAATTTTTTAAACTAATGCATAGTGAAAGTTCGTTTAAAAAAAACAATAATAAATTTTCTCACTTAAAAAAATAAAAAATAATTATGATATTTTCTTCTATTTATTAGAATAAAAACTATTTTAGAAATCATTAAAAAAAATTCTCTAGAATATATCTAGAATTTCAAACACTGTAAAATACCTTTAAAATATATATTTTAAATTGTATTTTTTTTTTTTAAATAAAAATTCAATAAACAATCACAAGTAATGTTAAATTTATAATTAATTATAATTTTTAACATTTTAAAATGGAAAAAGTCAACTGAAATTATCACAAGAATCTTGAAATTGTAGCAAAGAATGAATAATATTTAATATAGATTTAAAGAGATTTTCGTGCTTTAATGATGGATGAATTTCATTTTTTATACTTTTACAACAATTATATATTTTATGTACATTATAATTTTTTATATATTCTTAATATCACATTAATTTTTGGGCCATTATTTGAAATACAAGAATCGAATCGCGGTGTATTTTATACATAGAAGAATATTTTTAATGAAATTTTTCGAGTCGAATTCATCAAAAAATACATCTGAAAGTTGATATATATATATAAGAATTGGTATATAGTAATTTTATAGTAGAAAAAAGAAAAGAAATTAAAATTGCTTGAAGTATTATAAGAATATTATAGGAAATTTTACAGTAATTAAAACAAATTCAAAAAAATAACAATCCCTTATTGTGATATGTTTTTCTTAAATATAGTGGCAAAGTATTGCATATAATCTCGTTCAAATTCATTCGTTTTCTTCCTTAAATATACGTATCTTTATATAGAACTTTTTAAAATAATTAATGAAGATCATTGTAAAAATTTGAGGTAGTTCACATTCTTCCTAGTATATTAGGTTCGTCTTCGCGTGCATGGTACTCTGACGGTGCTTTGTCGCCTTTCCTTTTTCTAGAACAATAAATAAATAAACAACCAGCGATAATAAAGACAACAAAGGTGATCCATCCCAATACAAAAGAGAAACCATAATGCAATGATGCACCCTTTGGATGACGAGCACTTAAATATCTTTCTTCATATTTTATGGAATTGATGAGTACTTCTATCACAACTAATACCGTTGCAGCTGGAAAAAATATATATATAGATTTTAATTAATATAAAGATTATTTAGTATATTCGTTTAAGATATCCGCGAATAATAATGAATTTTTCAGATATTGAGGGTGAGGATATCAATATTTAAATTTATAGTCGCGTATATTGAGTCGGTTTTTCGCGAATATTGCTTTGAACATTGGCATAAAGATTATATATCGGCATTCTGATTTGCAGAACCTTCATTGTTACCCATGAGTTTTTATTTAATATTTGCAGATATCGTTTCAACCCAATATACGCAAATAAGAAATTCAATATCTGCGAATATTGCGTTGGATATTAATATAAAATTTTGATATTGAAGTCCACACCAATGGATGGAATTTATATTTTATGTAATAAATACTAGAAAAACATCGAATTTTTTTAAAAATGAACGAATAATTTTTAAATACTGTACATTATATTCTTTTATTTAACAACTCACAAAAATATCTTCGACTTTACATTTTTAGGATTGACAAATTCTTAGAAAATTTCATCAAGATTTATTCTGTCTGTTAATATAATTGATTTATATGATTTTATATTAAATTTTAATAATTTAATATTTATTAAAATAACCGTTCTGTACATAACATACACCGCTACAATTTATGCAAATTAGTAAGAATGGAACTTGTTTTTCAATACAACTTCCACATTTTGCGGTGTTTGAAGTATCCTCTTGTAATTCGTTAATGCAGGGGAGTGTCCGAATGTTTGTATTTCTGTCATTTGCAGAAGAATTCGTTTCAACATACTTTACTTCTAAAGTAAGCAAACTTGGCCAACATTTCGATAACCTTCCAACAATTCAGAACAATATACACAAACTATAATATAATCAAATAACACTTATATTATAATTTATAACCTATCATTCATTAATTCAATAACCAATTGTGAAGTTCACAAAATGAATATGGTTCATGTGTATATAGCATTATATCATTTACCACATATGGACAAGTTGTAGAATTTAACACAACATTCCGAATGATTGATTAATTACAGTTATCACTGACTATATTTAGTGCTTAGAAACACATATGATACTATAGGATTTAATTGTTTGAATAGTTTAACTGATCCTAACAATATATATATAACTGATCTAACTTATATCAATTGCTTCTAACCTCTTTAGTAATTTTAAGTGCCAAAAATTGTTCACGACAGCAAGAAATTTAAAGCATTTATATTGTCAGAAGGGAGTAAAGAGAAAAAAAATTTAAATTGAAAAGAATTTTTCAGAAGATTTCACTTGTCTATATTATATATAAAAAAATAAGAAATATTAAAAAGAATGAGTGAAAAAATTCGTCTGTCATGTTGAAAGAATTTTAGATATATTGCAGACATTGCAGAAACGACATAATCGATTGTTAGAAATAAGAAAATTCAATAAAATTACAAGCAAAAATTTTATCAAAGACAATAATATTGATTCAGAAATATATATTGTTATTTTTATTGTCTTGTAGATGTTTTTTTTTTGTATACTAACCTGTTAGAAAATGAACACCACCTGCCAATCTTTTGAACATATACCTTGGTTCTTTGAAGGTGTACAAACTAAATCCAAGTCCCATTACCATTAAACAAAGACTTATTATGGAAAAGGCTGTTTCTGTTCTTGTATAATCTATAATTAAAAAGAATAAAAATATTATTCAATTAACCACTTTAATGAATTTAGAAATATTTTAAAAAATCATAATTTATTTAAATATTTAATGGCAACCTTCAGATTATACATATCCAAGTACAGCTTAAATTGTTAAATACTGTACTGTATATAATAATAAATTTTATATATTGTTAGTTTTATATGCGTAGTTAATTTGTATATAATTTTTTATTTATTTAATTAATTTTATACAAAATTATTTGATTTTTTTAATGTTAATTTCTATTGAAAGACAGCTCATCTTTATTGGCAAGATATAAATGCTAAAGTAACCTCAAAACATAAATATAAACAAATTTTAATGCCGAAAATATACTTGATGTTTGAAGAAACTACAAGAGGTCAATCAAGAGCCACGTGCCAGATGGCACGTGGTTCTCGGTAGGAATAACTACCACATCAAACGTGGAGTAATGAGCGGCAAATAAAGTGAATTGCCATTAACGACATCGTTGAGTTTTGTAAGAAAGATGCATATGAACTCTACAACACTCAACGACACAGATTCGAGAGTCAGCTGTTTAGGTTCTCATTCGTTGTAACTGAAATTGACAATTGGCTTCTAAATAGTTCTCTGAGAATCATTATGTACAGAAGAGGAATTATCTAAAATTTTAAGATGTACATTCAAGTAGACGTGTTTAATATAATCAGTTAACACGTTGGCATGCAGGAAAGGAATGAGAGAGAACTAAATGCACACCTGCTTTTATGGTTTTCGAGGAAAATCTCAATGGCAGATTAGTATTTTTGTAACATAAAATTTTTTTAAGTTTGGGCACAGGACAACCTCCTGAAAACCCGCCCCTTCTGTTCAAATTGACATTTAAACATAAATTATACCTTCAAATTATCTGTTTCTTTGGAAAACAAAGAAAACAACTAGTACAGGTAATTATTTATTGTGATATCACCACAATACCGGGTTGTAATTTTTAATCATATTTTTAATTTATTTAACTTAAAATATATGATCTCCATCTCAATTTAGTAGTGGCTTGCCCCTGTACATCATACTTTTCCTATAGCAACAGAGTCATGCCCATCATCTAACTCTGTTCTCGAGATTTAGGAGAGACAGACAGACGGATGACAGTGGAAATTTATAGATCAATGACATTTAGAAATAATAAGAAATGTTTAAAATTTTAGTTCTTTATGTAAAAATGCAAATATATATGTATTAATATATATTTTAAGTTAGCAATTTCTTTATGAATATAAAGAAATCATCTTGAAACACTGTCCTTTTGCATGCCCATACAAAAATGACATTTTAAAAATCACAAAGTACACACAAAATAAACTTTATCAATATCTTTTTACCTATTTTTCACATTATAAACAGTGTAAAGAATATAAAAAAAAGACATATTAGAATTAATTATAACTTAATAATATTTATGTAAATTATTTACTTCTTATTACAATTAATTAAAAGTAAATAACATACATAAAAATTATTTAGTTATAGTTTAATGTATGCAAATTTATACAAATAAATTTACGTAAAAAAAAACAAAACTTCATAAACTTAAACAAGTAATTAGTAAAGAAATATGTTTAAGTTTTAATCTGCTTTCAATATATAATTAAAATTACCTTAATTAATTTCAATTAATTATAATTAAATTTTACAATTATTATAAAGGGATTGTCGTATCGTTTGAAACTTTAATAAAGTTCCAAAACTGTGTTATCCCCCTTTATTAATAAATAATAATAATAATAAAATTTTATATTGAAATCAATGTTTATGAAAATATTACATGATACACATGTTTTTTGTTTTAACATTTGAGTTAATTAAGCATAAGAGTATATTATTAGCTGCTACAAAATTTAACTCTTGGCTACGTTACTGATTAAGAATTATTAAATGAAACTTATGCTAAATACCCNTTTAGATTGGACAAACGAGCAGAATATGGATACTGAGAGACTCAGATAACATAACTGGAGAGAATTTTCTTAAAATAGTTCTCCCCGGACGATGCTATTTTCTCTTGTCTTATACTTTAGCTAAAGTAGACAAGACTGAGAAAGGTAGCATATAAACATTATTATAATTTATAATATTCTGCTGTGGTTAAGGAGCAGGTAAGGATGCAAAACACCATCCACCTTCGGCCATATTTCCTGATGTCAAAGATAAACTCGGAGTATAATGGTCTTTAAGAAGTTAATTTACCTGCTATTCTCTTATATATTGATCTTAATACTCCCAGATTATATTATTATTACGGCGTTTAATAAATTTTATAAATATATATATATATATATTTCTTTTATTAAAAAAGACATTTGTATATTTTTCTAAGAGACTCATTATATAGCTGTACAAAGTAAAAACAATATTTTAAGATTAAATTGAGAAGGAAGAGATAAGAAACAGAAGAGCCAATTAACTTTAAAACAGACTTCTTTATATACATTTTAAAACTGAATATAAAAATGTTTATTTGTTCATACATAATTTGAATTATTTACAAAAATAAATTCTGATAACTGAAAGCCCTTAGGAGATAATACTTTGTATTTATTTAATAAATAATTTTATTTATAACAACAATATTATTGGAAAATTTATATTTTAAATTATTATGTAAAGTATATTTTCGAACGCTTAAATCAAACTGTTTTTTTTATAAGTTATTTTATACAACTATACGTAATTACACAACAAGTAGCTCGCGATCTACTTATAGATTACGAAATCTATTGTTAGATAATTTCAAATCAGGAAAGATTGAAAAGTACACAGATTTAGGCAGTTTATTAAATATTTAAGCAGTATACTAAAAAGAATTTAATTATAATTTAATAAATTAAAAAATTTGCATAGTACTAACATCAAATTACTGAAATAAATCGCAAGTTACTCATGATAATAGGTATATTTATTTAAATATTTCTATAAAATGGAGTGAAGAATTCAGATTTTTATTATAACAATTCCTATAACTGTGAATATTTCACGAATAATTAAAAATATACAAATTTCGTAAGTAACTAGTAAAAGATCAGAAGGATGAGGATTGTAAGAGGCTGAATGGTGAAAGATTAATTAATTTCAACACACCACAAAAATACCTAAAAAAATCATAAAAACACAAAAAATTCAAATTAAATTAAATAAAAAAACAATTAAATGTTATAATATTTATTAAATTCCATAAAACCCAACCTAAAAATTTATCTTAAAGAATAAAATTTTAATTGAAAATTGATTATCAATTACCCTTACGCAGTAGTCATCATTTATTATTATTTAAATGACTCGAAAATTTGATTTAAATATTTTATATTTGCTTCAATCGGTTTTCAAAGAGCAACAATTGCATGCGACTTCTAAAAATAAATCATTCCTTGTCGTTACTTACTCACTTATCATCGATCATCGATCAAATGTAATATTCCTTCTGCAGTCAACACAATCGTAGATATAAAAAGAATAATGATTATTCTTTAAATATTAAAAAAATAATAATAATTTTACTGTATTAAATTCACAGTAAAAATCTTTCTATTTAATTAAAAAAATAAATGAACAATTGCAGCCATATTTCAAGAAACTATTCACAAATAATTAAGTATTTACGTAGAATATATTCAGGAATAAATGTAGACTATTTATTTAAATATATTTGTAATAATTCAATTTAAAATAGGATATAAAAATCAAATTATTGTGACATTGTCACAATGCAGGGTTGCAATTTTAATTTTCAAAACAAAATATTCTAATCGAAGAATCATCTATAACCATTCTGATGACAGTGAAGAAGCGATTATAATGAATTTGTATTGGCAACAGGAGGGAGAAAGAATGATATTAACTGAAGTTGGAAGAGTGATAATAACGGAAGTCTGTTCATATTGCAATGAGCGGATATGTTCATAGAAAGGTTTGATAAGGTAAATAGTCTGAATGGACATCTTTAAAGACCCGAGACACCTGTCGAACAGAACGACAAGGGTCTTACATTGTGACGTCGGTTCTCACCAGGTTGATATGACGTTTGAAGGGTGAAGATTGATTGCATTCAACAAGTCGATTCCAGGTTTATGTCAATTTGCTGGATTTTCCACTTGGTCATTATTTCGCTCATTATATCGATTTTCTGTACCCTGTGCCATTAACTAAGTGAAGTCTTTGAAAAATGAAAGAAAAAAAATATTTTTTTATTGTTTATTTTTGCTGCAACAGGTTATATTTTAATAAAAGAATCGTAATTTATGTCTTAAAATGCTGTATATTTAATTTATTCTATCGATTTTAACCATATTTTCAATTTATTTAATTTAAAATATATGCTCTCCACCTCAAATTAGTAGTGGCTTTTCCATGTACATCATACTTTCCCGTTAGCAATAGAGTCGTGCCAGCATGTATATAACTTCTTTCGGGAGAAATGCTTGAATTGAAATCACGTATCTTCCGGGCTAGTCCGGAAATTCGTATACAGCATAATTAATCAGGACCTCTCCCCTATTCTTTCTACATCTATTTTTACCTTTCATGTATCTAACTTTGTTTTCGAGATTAAGGAAAGACAAACAGACGGACGGACGGACGGACGACGGCGGAAATTTTACAGGTCTGCAATTTTATCAAATTGCAGCCCAATTATTTAATTAAATTTAGAGCAGTATAAAAAATTAAAGAACTTTTTTTTAAGTTTAGTAATTAAATAAAAGTATATTTAATTTATAAAATTTTATTAAATACACCCGAAAAACTTTTTATAGTTGAAGTTTTTTCTTGATAAAAATTTCTTGTTTTGCCGGAAGGGTAATTTTTATTTGAAAATTTTCTGACGAGAAAACGTTGTGTCTCAGTAATGACACATTAATAGACATTTATTGGTGGTAGAGGGTTATAAAAGTAAGAGCAAGTTTAGGATCTTTTATGGATTCGGGGTAGAAATCATGTAGTAAAGATTGTCACTTGAAAGTGCTGATTGATGTAAAAAGTTTCTTTTCTTTTTTTTTAGAAAAAGCATTTAGGCACTTATCCACTAGCAGATTTTAAGAGGTTTGTAAACATTTAGAAAGCTGCGATTTTCGTACTTTGAGTGTGTAATTTTGTGACGATTATAAACCGTTTTAAATTCAAATACGTGATCTTATAAGTAGCTAGCCTTGAATTAATATAAGGAATTTTCTTATACAAGGCGAGAATTTACAAATTATATACGCGACTGATTTTTAAAAATATTTTTAAACTGTACTTATTGATATTTTGCTCCTTCTGCTAATACACTTTACAACTCCGATTTACAACTCCGTAATGCTAAATGGCCTTTTATAAACACTGTATCAGTATGTAATCATTGTATATAATTAGTTTTATAATTACTGTATAGTTTTATTTGTATATGTGCCATTAGGAATTTCTATATAAAACCAATGACCTGCACTCACTGCAATTAAGAAGGTACTTTATCCAACTCTGTGTGTGTAATATTTTATGACTATATACCATTTTAGATTGAAAAAAATAATGTTATAAAATGTTTTATATTTGAATTAATATAATAGTACTAAATTTTAAAAAATGTTTAATACTATAAATATATTCTTCTGCAACCCAATATTGTCTGTTATTTAAGTATTGTGGCACGGTAAGAGACACTTATTCTGCACTTCTAATGACAAAGACTTGCGAACCATTTATTCATATAATAATGCAGTAAAACCTGTTCAAAACGGAATCTGAATAAAAAAGAAACTTGCCTAAATGGGAGACATTCCTTGGAACGGAGCGATTTTCTACGTTAATAAAGAACCTGTTCGTAAAGGAAACCTGCCAAACCGGAAAAAATATTCGGTATCGTGCGATTCCGGCTTACACAAGTTTTACTGTATTACAGTTTGTAGTATCTCTTTTCTTGACAACAGCCTGTGAAAGTGTTCCTTTCAAAAGTTATATGAAAGAAAGGAATATTGCAAACTGTAACAGGGGTAAATGAATTGGAAGCTCCTTGTTCATTAGGAGTGCAGAACAAGTGTTTGCCATCACACAACAATAAGAAAATACGGAATATAACCATTACTCAACGATTTAATATATATTTTTACTTATAAATAAAAAGATATTCCTAAAATTTACTTACTTACAATCTTCGCTTCTCTTCCCGATACATTTTTAACTTCTGTTTTGCATAATTTCCACAGTCCCGAATGGCTTTTCAGAAACATTGTATCAGTTTTGTTTGTGTATACGCCATTAGGAACCTCTACATAAAACCAATACTCTGTACCCATTGCGACCATCCATAACAATATGGCTGCGATGGATGCTACTGTGATTACTAACAATGCACGTTGTTCACATAACAATTGAGCAGCTGCATCACGATGAACACTTCTGATTCCGGCCATCCTTATGACACCACATCATACTTATAAAAAGTATCAATAAAATTGTCAGTATTTCATATTCTTAATGGAAATTTGCGTATTGAAAGATTCCATAAGTCCCATTATTGATCCTTCTACACTGAAAATAAACCGTTATTTGAAATTTTTAATCACATTATTATGATTTTCTATATTTAGTTTAGCTATTAATATAAAATATTCAAAATGTTGATAATTTTTTGTAATAAATATCGCTGTAATAATATAAAATATTCATGAAACTAACAGGAAAACTAAATTTCTTCAATAAATTGTATTATTGTCAATACTATATATATATTTAAATGAATTATGTGTATTTTTGCTGTTATTTGTTTAAAATAACTGTTTTCTAGTAACTTCTAGTGTTAGTTTTCATTACTTCTAAACGGAAATAGTATCTATATCATAAAAATAAACAATTTTACTGATTTGCTTACAATTTATATAATGAATTAGAATGCTAACACCAAAATTACACGCGGAAGATACAGATTTATTAAGTTATTTACCTTCCAGCAATAATTGTGCTTTGTCTAGCACGTATAACTGTACACTTTGCCTAACTCCTTTAAATCTAAGACTGATGAGAAGAAGTACATTTGATTGCGGAATTATTACTAAAATACTATTAATTTTATTCTGAGATGCATTTAATACAGTTAAAATTAAGAATGTCCCAAAGTATTTGATTGTCTCAATGAAATAATTTACTGGGACAATCAAAGGTTGCCCATTCATTCGAGGGTTATTACATTTAATAAAAGCAAATTGTTTAAAGGCAATAAAATTTTTCTTTATTTAATCCTATCGTTATCATCAACCAACCAAATTATATTGTTAGAGGTTTTATTTAACGTTTTTAATTTTATTTATAAACTAGAAGCAGTTATTGTTAACGCAACAATACACGACATAAGTATTGTTGCGCGGCGCGTCCGACGCGCGTCACGCGCGCGATAATCAGTTAATTGCTTATTTCAATATGAAAAACCTAATATAAATATATCGGAGGGTTAGCGCTGTTTAACATTACTATTTTTTGTATATCATACTGGTTTTGCTATTATTATTTCTTCAAAAACTTGGCTACGAATCTCGATATAATATTTTTCTTGGGCGTGTCGCGTGGCGTTGCGTTTCTTCATTATTTGTCACTAGCAGGTGAGCCCGGCGTTGCTCGGGCAAAAGTAACGATAACTAAGATAAAGATTATTACGTTACAGTCAACCTTACCCGTTTTCACAGAATTGGGTCCCCTTGTTTCCAGACTAATTAAAGAATTTTTAGATGGGTCTAAAAATATGTTCGATTTCCCGCAAAAACGAAAAAAACTGCATCTGCGTATTGCACGTCGCTTTCTCTTAACAATTCCATTGTTACGTAACATTTCCATTGTTGACACTTCCATTGTTACTTAGCACTTCCATTGTTACTTAACACTTCCATTGTTGATGGAAGTGTTAAGCCTTAATCCTGTCTCTCTCCCTCATGGGGAGGAATTTCTAAAAATCCCTTCTTAGTGTGCGTTCTCCTAATAATACCCTAACTGTGTACCAAATTTCAACTTTCAACTCCTAACCGTTTGGGCTCGTATCCATAACGTATATAGAAGTTTTAATCCTGTCTCTCTCCCCCCGGGGGGAATTTCGAAAAATCCCTTCTTAGTGTGCGTTTTCGTGACGTACCCTATCTGTGTACCAAATTTCAACTTTCAACTCCTAACCGTTTGGGCTCTGCGCTTATTATTATTATTATAATCAACCCGTCTCGATTATATATTAGATTGATAAAACTCTTCATCTAGTGATGAAAATAAATGAAAATATAATACAGATAACACAAGCTTCTAGGAAAGAATTTGTCTTACTGGATATCAGAACTACAATTTTAAAAAAATTCAAATAAAGAAGGGACCATTACTCTAACAAATTATAGACCAACAAGACTAAACCACAGTTTAGTAAAACAAATTTGAATTATAAATAATTGAAGCTCCAGTGAGACACCGATTTTTAAAAATTTAAATCACTCTCAATGTTTCAACTAAACTAATAAAGTTATGATTAAAGATGTTGTCTCCCTAAAATAAATCTTATGTATTCACCTTGAAAATTGGCTTCAAATATAAGCAAATATCCATTGCTAGCATAATTACATAAATGTTGGATCCGGAATCATTTAATTCTGAGCCGAATTAGGGTTGCCAGATTTACTGATTTTTCGGTATTTTCTTCGACTATCATTTAGCAACACAAAAGATAATTTTAAAAACTCTTCTTATAACGAAGAATCTTTTCTTTCTCCACATTTTAAATGTATTTCTGTCAATTTAATTGTAAAAATAAACATCTGTTGCCTGTCTTAGAATTGAAGTCCTAATGTCTTTCGAGAACTCATATTGGCCCGGATTTTATCTCCAAGTTTCTGGCAACCCTAGCTAAAAGTCAATCTTGAATGTATTATTACTAGAATCCATTAAGAATGTATTCGTTCTTCAATTAAAAAAATAAATTTCCGTTTCGTTTTCTAGTTTATTTTTCGTTATTGGGCTGCAATTTGAAAATTGTAGACTTATAAATTCCCACTGTCGTCTGTCTGTCTGTCTGTTCTCCCTTAATCTCGAAAACGGCGTGAAACAGGTGAAAGTACAAACCAGTTGTAAACGCTAAGGAGCAGAAGGTTCCGATTAATTATATAAAAATTATCGATCTGGACCGGAAGTCATGTGATTTCGATTCAAGTAGTTTCCTTGAGCAAAGTTACATATTATGATCGCCATGACTCTGTTGTTTTTCTTCTGACTCTACAGACTTAATGTAAATTTGCGGTTATTATTAACTGAAAATATTACGAATTCAAAAGATTTTTTTCTTTTTACATAAGTTTTTTTTGTTTTTAAATCATGTTCTTGATCGCTTTAGAAGTCAGTTCCAACTCACTCATTTCTTTTTACTGCTGAGTGGCAATTTAATCCCTTCCAAAAAATCGAGATGAATCGATACTTCTTCATTAAGGAATAATTTCGGCTCAGAAAGAATATATCAAAAGAAAAATTTACAAAAATTACATGTTTTGACAATAGATTTTATAAATTTTATCCAGTAAAAATTCAATAAACTTTAATCTTTCAAGTTTTCAAGAGAATTAAAAATTGACTCTATTTTCTCCATATTTACGTAATTTTTCAGATCTTGCTCTTGGCTCGTTATCACTTTTCACATCTTTTATAACAAATTGTAAAAATTTAATCTTTCATCCAGTTTTTTTTTAAAATTATCCATCATTAAATTATAAAGCGATTCAAATGTATCATTAGCTGTCTGCGCCGAAATTATCGTTTTCTTATTGAAAGAAATGGAAAAAATTATACAAATTACAAGTTTTAGATCTACTTTTTCAGACTCTGGTTATACTTATCTGAGAATAATTAGGAGATTCACCCTGGAACAATTCCAAATCCACTTGATCAGGATCGTTTGTCTGAAAAGCTATTGATTGTGACACTCTTCGGCGATCTGGCTCGCTCCCTCGTATTTTATTTCTCACCTTAAACATTTTGTACGGAAGACCGGAATTGAGATGAACATCGTAACAAATTAATAAAGTTTGTATTTTTACCATTAAATATGCTAAGTTTGAATTAGAAGCACAACACATGGTCTGTTGTAAAGGAATCTTTACACCTTGGAAAAAATAACTCGCAGGTCATCACAGGATCCAACCCATATTATTAAACATCAACATTGTATGCCATAAATTAAATTTAATTAGTTAGAAAAAGTATTAATTTTTTAATTACCATTTTTAGATGAAGAAATAATTTTAATATATTTTTAAGATTAAAAAAAAACGCTTTTATTACGCATGTTTTTATAGTGTGTGAAGTAGGGGTGGCCTCATCTCACCATATACATCATTGCAATACAGTTACACAAACACATCATAATTAAATTCTACATTTAGTTATGTTTATCGGATTGGGAATGGGATGATGGAGGTGGACCACCCCCTAAAACATCATTAAAATGTATTATCGTCCGATTTGGAAGATTGACATTTTGAGGACATACAAAGCGAGTTAATTAAAAGCATTTAAAAATATTATATAGTTTGTTATATAGTAATTTTATATAGTAAGATTTTTCTTTAAAAAATTGAATTTTCTATTCTATATTTCCATAAAATTTATATTAATAATTTTTGAAAGGAGATTTAACTATTTTATTCGATTCAACGAAATATTCATTAATAACAAATTCTGATTTTATCTGAAAAAACTGTTAAAAATGTCGAATTGAGTATGATAAATGATGATTTTTCATCATAATTCTTCTAGTAAAAAGGATTTTAAAATCATTTCTCATGATCAATTTCATGTTAACTTTTTATATATTTTTTTAATTTTTAGAAAATAGAGAAAAATTATGATTTTATCACGTTTCTTTACATATATATACGTATATAAAATTTTAAAAATTAATTAAGCTTTATAAAGTAATAAATGAAATACATTTATATAGATGATTTAAGGTATATATATTGTTTTTATAGAGAAAATATGGCTTTTTATCAACAATTTTTAATTTAAAAAAGTTAATTTTTTAAAAATCGAAACCACACGAAGCTTGTACACGATAAATATACTGGCAAAGCTTTTCTATTTTCAACTACAACCAACGATAATCGGAAGCGATTCAAAATCGACCAATTAGAATCGATCTATCTTATACCTGTATGTAACAAAATGTCCACACCGTGTATTTCAGCGAGATCAAGTTGGCATGTGAGAGAAATGGCAAACAAACAAATAGTAATTTGGAACTTTTCCTTAGAGAGAAGTCTAATTGAGTTTTATAGAGGTTAATTTCTACGTATAATAAAATTTTTGTTGGCTTTAGAAATAAACACATATGAAGATTCTTTCCATGTCAACAATTTAGCAATCCTCGATAAAATATCTTTACTTGATAAATGTTTCTAAACAGTTACTGAAGCGTGCACTATTAAAACAAAATAAAACAAAATCAGGAGCCTGATATTAGTATTTACAGACAATTTTAGGAATTAGAAAAACAGAACCAGACAGATGCCAACAATTGTATCGTGTTGGCTAAGCTTAAGGCCATAGGAGTACACAGGACTGCCCAAAAGTCAATTAACTGTTAAAAATTGTTGTCTTATCCAAATACTTTACTACTTATATAAATGTCAAAGTGTAGGGTGAGCCAAAAATTAGTTAATAGTTACATTGTAAAGACTCAATTGCTGTCTTCTTTAATCTTTAAATATTTATTAATCGTATTTCTTTATCATATTCTATAAAATGTTTACAAAAAAATACATTATTTTAAATTTTATTACTTCCTTAATATTTCATAATATAATAAAATGATGTGATATAATAGTTTAATGTTATAATGTTATTTAATTTGTAATTCTATTCAAATTTTTATATAATCAAAACCTCTGTTTAATATTTTATTAATTAAAAATATTCACACTTTCAATACAATAGAATAAAATATATTATAAAATTATAAGTAAATAATTAAGCAAAAATAAAATTTAATTTTTGCTTGAAGTATTAATAAAGGAATTCGTTATAAATTTTATTATGAGAAATAATAAATAATGTTTTTAAATATTTAATTATTAATGGATGTTTA